TCCCAGGCTGATGACCTGAGTTAGATTCCCAGATTGGTGGAAGGAGGGAACCCTTTGTTCTTGATCCAGCTGGGATCTCCCACTCCCCCAAGCTCTCTTTCCCTCGACCCTTGCCCTTCATTACCCCCACTCATGTCCAGGCTGTTTATGTAGATCTCATCCATTTCTCCGTGATGCAGACAGTTTTGCTCTATCTGGGTTTCTACTCAGGTTTGTGTGTTCACTGCATACAGGGTCTCTCCTGCTACCCTGCGGGTTAAACTCAAGTCATCAAGCTTGGCAGCAGGTACCTTTAACCATTGAGCATCTCACCGGCCCCCAAAGATATATTTGTAAAGTTGAGGAGAAAGTAATTTTGTGTTAGCATGGAGTTGCTGCAGAATGAAAATGGAGACCCCCCCCCAAAAAAAAAAAAATTGAATAGATATTAGGAAGTTGGGAAGAATTTGATGTGGTCAAGCTGGCTAAATGGAATCAATTTGTTCTAAGAGTTTTGAGAAAACATTAATATTAATCGTTGTCCTTTGTACTGTTAAAATATGTTTTCTTTCATAAAATAAGGTTATCCAAGGGCCATCTGTCCCTGACTGTTCCCCATCTGTCTTTTCCTTCTACCTTCAGGATAGATAGAATGTAGGATCTTGTCAATGCTAAGTATATTTCTTAGCACTGATCCAGCTACACCTCCAGCCCTCTTTTTATTTTATTTTATATATGTTTTTAAAACACAGTGCTTTACTATAATTGACCAGGCTGGCCTTAAACTCCTGATCCTCCTTATTAAGCTCCTGATTCTTTGGGTTTATCAGGTTTTTGATTGAAGAAAACCAAGTCTTTTTGCTATTAAAGGAGCTAACTTCAAAAGAGTTGTATGGGGCTAGGGAGATTTTTAATTCATGAAGTGCAATTTCAGTGCATGCATACACACTTACATACCCACATGAACAGGAACATGCACCACCCCTCCCCAAACCACAATTATAAACTGAAGTTCTGTAGCCTTTAAAATCCTTCATTTTGGCTAAATAGGTAGGGATTGTTTTAGTTTTATGTAATCCTGTATAGTCAGGTGTTCAAACCTTGTGTTTGTTTTCACAGATTTCTCAAAATAAATTTATATAAAGTCTTTCTGACTTCAGATTAGCTTTGGGATCACTTAGATAACTCTTTGGAAATTTCTTTTCTCTTGTAATGCTAGATTCAAACCCAGAGCCAGGCAAGTGCTGTAGCACTGATCTATCCCTAGTCTTTATGATTTTTTAAAAAAATTTTATGCTGTATACTTGATGTGTGTGTGGGGAGGGAAAGCCTTGTATGCTGTGGCATAGTGTGGAGGTCTGGGACACTTTGTAGATTCTGTTCTCTCCTTCTACCTTTATATATGGGTTCTGGGATCAAACTCAAGTCACCAGGCTTTCATGGCAAGTATCTTTACCCACTCTTGACAGCTGCCTGAGCCTCCCCCCCTCCCCCTTTTTTTAAACAAAAGGTTATTTTAGTTTTTGAGGCTGGGACGTCCAAAATCATGATACCAGAAGATTATGCCACTGTCCCCGTTCTCTTCCTGGCTTGTAGGTGGCCTCTTCCCCTCTTCCTCAGATGGCAGAGAGAGTAGGCATGCACTCAAAAAGCAAGAGTGAGCTTCTGACGTCCTGAGCCCTTTTTATATGGGGCCCCTGTCTTAATTAGAGTTTTTATTGCTGTGAAAAGACACCATGACACGGACAATGCTTACCTCAAGTTATATATATATATATATGTTTTGAAATTATAATAGTTACATTACCTCTCACTCCCTTTAAAAAAAGAAAACCTCTTACAGGCAAGGGTGGTGACTCAGGCCTATAATCTTAGCAACTGGGGGGCTGAGGCATGAGGACTACTTCAATTCAAGGCCAATTTGAGCTGCTGAGTATTTAATTCATAAGATTTCAATAGCCTTGAGCACTGCGACTGCCCACATACACTATTTAACTCATAGTGGTTTCCTTTACTTTTCTTTCTTTTGCTTTCTACCCCTCACACACTGACTGTGCCTACAAGAGCCTAACAGTACACACACACCCCATGTCATTTTCTCCAAAGTGTATGAATACTACATAATAAAGTATTAATAAAAATTTCTTTTAATTTATATGTAACTCTCTCATGAGCCTCAAAGTACTTAGGCAAAGTGTGAGGAGGAATACCAAAAAGCATAAAAGTTGTAATAAGTGCAGACTTAAAAGTATTTTAAGGGCTGGGTAGGTGGGTTAAGAGGTAAAAGCACATTCTAGGCTCCCAGGCTGATGACCTGAGTTAGATTCCCAGATCGGTGGAAGGAGGGAACCTCCATGCATGCACTGTGGCACTACCTCCCTTCCCATCAGGTTAAGAATAGAGCATTTCAGTCGTACACAAAGAATAAGTTGTAGTAATTGTAATTAAGTAAATTAAGTAAGAATATTAAGTAAATAAGTAAGAATAATTGTAGCAAGCAAGCAATTCCCCAAATTGTTTGCTTGCTCTGCCAAAGGATCATGGAGAGAAAAGCACTGATTCTTCAATGGGATCTGTCTGATAGACCACTTTTTTTTTTTTAAAGTTGCTCTTACTCTGAGTCAAAGTATACATTGCCAGAAGGCTGAAGTGCTTTCAGTCTTGATGAAATAATTTGAAAATAACAATATACTTCCCACAATAAAGCTCTTTCAGTGCTTCAAAATCGATGATTAGCCTTTGCCCACAATGTTTCAAGATTTTAAACCTCAGGAATACAAGGATGGTCCATGACTGTCCATACACCTTCCACCTGGATGTCCTCGTTATTAACCTTCTGACAAACTTACTCAGTCCCCTCTTTCTTTTCTCACTCTCACTTCTGCACTCTCTACACATACATAGTTTTTACATATACATTGTACATGTAAAAGTCTTTTGTTGTTTGCAGGACGTTTAAAAGCTGAGGAGACTGTAGACTTGGCTTGGGGGTTAAGAACACTTTTTGGTTTTGCAGAGAACTCAGGTTTGGTTCTCAGCACCCACATGATAGCTCACAACTATCTGTTTCTCCAGTTTCAGGGGATCTGATACCTTCTTCAAACCTCCTCAAGCACCAGGCACACACACAGTACATATGCATACACACAGGAAAAATGTTCATATACATTAAGATAAAAATTATAGACATCATGATACTTCATTCCTGAGTAACTTGGCATGTATTTCCTAAAAACAGGGGCATTTTTACATAGCTACAATATCATTTTCATACTCAATGCAATTAACATTTATAAAATTATAGTATCTAGTAGATTGCTCATCTTCAAATTTTTCCAGTTTCAGAAATATCACCCTGGTTGGAGATGCAGCTTAGTTGGTGAAGTGCTTCCTAACATGCCTGAAACTCTGGGTTTCGTCCCCAGCACCGTGTTAAGCCAGATGTGGTGTTACACAGCTGTAGTCTCAGCACTTGGGAGGTGGAAGCAAAAGGACTAGAAGTTCCAGGTCATCCTTGACTACACAGTGAGCTCAAAGCCATCCTGGACTATCTGAGTCCCCGTCTCCAGCAGACAGCACACACATGTGTATACACATACTACAATATACACACATGTATATCCCTCCCTGTTTAGAACTCCCAACCCCAAACAAGAATCATGTGTCAGTGGGTGTCATGGTGTATATCTGAGATTGTAAGTTTGAGGCCAGCCTGGGTAGTATAGTAACTCTGTCTCAGAACAAACAAACACGCATGCTTGTATGCATTTCATGCTATTGCAGTGGCTCTTTACTTGTCTTTAATCTAAAAATGGCTCTCTTGTCCCTCATTCTTTTTTGAAGTTTTTCATAACACTGACATATTACTAAGGCTAACTGAGTTTGTTTTCTTACAATTGATAAACTTTTTTGATAAGAAATGCATAAATGTGTAGCAAAGTTATACAGAAGAAACTAGACTAAAGCTAAAATGAAAGGTTCTTTTCTTTGTTTTCTTTCTGCAGTGTTCTGAACACAAGCAGTTTGCTCTGTGATTGTCATTTGAAGTGGCTACTTCAGTGGCTGGTGGATAACAACTTTCATCATTCTGTGAATGTAAGCTGTGCACATCCTGAATGGTTAGCTGGGCAAAGCATCCTGAATGTGGACCTGAAAGATTTTGTCTGTGGTTTGTATTTCTGTTTTCAAATTTTTAAATTTCTGTTAACTATTTTAACAACAAAATAAAGGGAATGAACAAAAGCAAAACAAAACAAACAAGAACCCACCCCAAATGGCTTTTGACAGTCCATCTTATGTCCCTGTGGTGTAGCTCTCCAAGCCATGTCTCAGGGATTGCTTTCGCAAATGCAGGCTACATTTTGTATTCTTTGACTTAGTGTTTCATAAACAATTGTTTTCCTCACTGTTCTTGTTTTTTTTTTTTTAATGCAAGGACCCTCTCAGTGGTCCCTTCTCATTGGCTTTAATGGGAGTGTGAATGTTGGCTTTAATTTGAGGGCAATTATTAACTTTAGGATAAAACTTCAGGATTATTAACTTGAGGATTAACTTCATAAGTAAGATTTCTGAATCAATATGTATTTTTTTTCATATGAAGACTTTTAGTAGATTTTGAAAAGAACCATCAAGAACAATTTTGAAAAGGCATTACTTTATAGGGCCATCAGCATTGTTATAAGTGTATAACAGTATGTCTTTATAATCACCAATGTCATTTTTTGGATGTAGTTTTTGGTAAAAGAATAGACCACTTGGGATTGTCGTTCTCTCTTTTCACCATGGGGCTGTTCAGGGAGCAAGTTCATATCAGTAGGCTTGATGGCAAACTCCTTTACCCACTGAGACATTTCACTGGCCCAGATGCAATTTCTTTTCTTCAAAAAAAATTAATTTATCTTTATTTTATGTGTATAGGTGTTTTGCATGCATGCATGCCTGTGTACTATGTGTGTGCAGTGCCCAGGAGACCATAAGAGGGTGTCAGATCCTCTGGAACTGGAGTTGCAGGTTGTTAGCTCTGTTGTGCCCCTTTATGGAATTTCTTAGGACTCAAAGTGGCAGCATATCTTTAACACAGTAGAGATAGTCATAAACAGGATGTCCTGAATATAACATTTATGATTTCAAAAATAAATCTATTTTTTTCTTCCTCAACTTGGAGAGTTTTCTTTTATAATTAAATCTTCTTTCCAATGAACTGAATTCTGCTTACACTGCTCCACATTCCCCTTTGACTTTTACTTAGTTATAAATGTAAGGCATATTACATGTTTTGAGACAAGGTCTCACTGTGTGGCCCTGGCTGGTCTAGAATTCACTGTGCAGACCAGACCAGGTTGGCCTGGAACTCAGACATCTGCCTGTCTCTGCTTCCCAAGTGATGAGATTAAGGGTATGTGCACTCTGCCTCATACTTATTTTTTAATACAATTCCAGTTACACCCTTTAAGGTACAATGGAATGTTACTTAGTAAAGATGCTGGTTCAGGATTTCTATAGCAGCCTCTCTGAATCCATAATGTTGTTATTTATGAATCCATAGTGCACTCGCCAATCCTAAACTAGTTTTCACTTGTGCATTTATCCTGTTTGAATTCTTGACTATTTTAATGTTGAAACTATGTACAAAGTACTTTCAAGTCATGCATTTATTAGTAGTCTCCATGAAAAAGAGTTTATATTCCCATTTTCTGTATTATACAGAAAGGATAATGGTTATTATAAACATTTTGTATATGTATTGTTATATATAGGACATGAATATCATTATGTGTGTATATACATGGTATGGTAGAATTAGAACTTACCTTGAAATTCTTCTCCAAGGTTTCTTTCTCTCCACCTCTTCACATGCATTGGTAATGCTTAGGAAATGCATGGTAAGCATCTAAGAGTCCTCAGGGATGGATGTAGGAAGAATGCTAGTGCTGACATCCAGAACCTGACTTCTAGTCTACCTTCTGCCACTGCCTAATGCCTTGAACAAATGTTTAACTGGAGTTCATTTTCTTCACCTTTAAACAAGGGATTGGATGATGCTGGAGAGATGGCTCAGTGGTTGAGAGCACTGACTGCTCTTCCAGAGGTCCTGGTTCAGTTCCCAGCATCCACATGGCAGCTCACAACTGGCTGTAACTCCAAAATCGGACACCTTCACACAGACATACATGCAGGCAAAACACCAATGCAAATAAAATAAAAATAAATAAATTATTAAAAACAAACAAGAAACCAACAACAAGGAATTAGGCTCTTTATAGTATCCTTCAATCTTAAACCCCTGTGAATGAAGCTTACGGTTTTACAATATTTGTATTAAATTGAATCTGAAGTAAAAATAAGTAACTGACTTGGCCACTATTGCATTTATTCCTTTTAGATGATTTTCTGAAGCCTCAGCTAAGGACACATCCTGAAAGCACAGTTGCTCTAAGAGGTGTTAATGTGACTCTGACGTGCACTGCGGTAAGCAGCAGTGATTCACCCATGTCCACTGTATGGCGCAAGGACAGTGAAATCCTGTATGATGTGGATATCGAGAATTTTGTTCGTTATCGGCAGCAGGCTGGAGAAGCTCTGGAATATACTAGTGTCTTACACCTCTTCAATGTGAACTTCACAGATGAAGGGAAATACCAGTGTATTGTTACTAATCACTTTGGCTCTAATTATTCGCAGAAAGCCAAACTGACTGTGAATGGTAAGGAATTGTACTACTTGACTTTTGAAATACTTACTTTTTTGCTTATTTATATATTTCTAGAACATATGTCATGACTATCTGGCCTATCTGGCCATGCTGATGGGCAAAAGTACTTGAAGTACTTTTTACATCTGAATTATAAGTCACTTGACCAAGAAAATTAGGTCATGTCCCACATTTGGAGGGAGCTCTTAGTGTTGTTATCTCTTGGTTGTGGTATATGGAAGGGGTGGACTTTTGGATTACCCACCTATACCTACTGTCCTACATTCTTTGTCCTAGGAGATGCTTTTCTTCCATTTCTGTTTCTCTCTCTCTCTCTCTCTCTCTCTCTCTCTCTCTCTCTCTCTTTTTGTTTTTTGTTTTTTTTTTTTTCGAGACAGGGTTTCTCTGTAGTTTTGCGCCTTTCCTGGAACTCACTTTGTAGCCCAGGTTGGCCTCAAACTCACAGAGATCCACCTACCTCTGCCTCCCGAGTGCTGGGTGGTGCGCCACCACCACCCGGCCATTTCTGTTCCTCTTGAAGGCATTCTTTTAATGGTCTGAATTTTCTTTCCAAAACCATAATTCTTTGAAAACTATGGATTTTTTTCTAACATGTTCACTGTGTCCTCTAACTGTTGAGAGTGTTTTGGACATCTCCCAGGCCAGTGGTCTCTATAGTTCTCCAGATAGGGCCAGAATCATTTTGAAAAGAAACCCCTCCTATGGTTATAGAAAAGTTTTCCAGAGCTTGGTTTATTGTCTAAGAGATTGAGTAACTACAGTGTTTTAGGCTGTGAGCAACCAAAAGATGTACTTGTGCCCTGTTCCTGTTCTTTATTTAATTTCTAGCCTTTTTTTATTTTTGTTTTTAGATTTTATTTTATTATTTTATGTGTATGAGTGGTTTGCCTTCATGTATGTCTGTACCACATGCATGCCTGGTGGCCATGAAGGCCTGAAGACATCATTGGATCTCCTGAAGTAACAGACAGTTGTGAGCTGCCATGTGGGTGCTAGGAATTGAACCTGAGTCCTGCAAGAGCAGTAAGTGCTCTTAACTACTGAGCCAACTCCCCAGCTCTGTACCCAACTCCTGTGTTTCTTCAATGCCATTTTTAAAAGCATAATGAAAACAAAAGGAACAAAAAACCTGTGGTTCTCTTTGACCCCTGTTGGTGTTGGATTGGGAAGCCTCACTTAACTTTCCAAGTGGAAGAGTGATATTAAACATCAAGTGCTAATCTGGGTTCAGGAGAGATTTTGGCTTTCTGACTTCTTCCTGTCAGCATGGTCAGATAGGCATGGCGTGTACTCTAGAAATACTGTGTTACCTACATGCTCCACATGCTGAAGTGCTGGTGAAAAAGATGCTTTCAGAAGCTGGGTTCCTTGTCAGTCCAGAGAATATGGCTTTTCAAAGAAATGGAGCATTTTACATCTAGATTTCGCCTGTTAGATTAGTAGATTTGTCTGCTTGTGCATGCTTTCCTTTTGCCTACTTTCTCTGTAATTTTTTTTGGAACAGAGATGCCCTCTTTTCTGAAAACTCCGATGGATCTAACTATTCGCACTGGTGCCATGGCCAGATTAGAATGTGCGGCAGAGGGGCACCCTGCACCTCAGATTTCCTGGCAGAAAGACGGTGGTACTGACTTTCCTGCAGCCCGAGAAAGACGAATGCATGTCATGCCTGAGGATGATGTCTTCTTCATTGCCAACGTTAAGATAGAAGACATGGGAATCTACAGCTGCATGGCACAGAACATAGCTGGAGGCCTCTCAGCGAATGCCTCCCTCATTGTGTTAGGTACGCTTACTGGGTTAGGACCGCTGTTCTCCTGGAGCCTCGGGGAGCTGCTCAGGCTTTGAAAGGCAACAAAAACAATTTGGAGTGTTTGGTGTGAATTTTTTTTTTTTAGTTCTTTTTTGTTGTTGTTCTTTTCCTTTTTGTTTTTGTTTTTTGAGACAGTGTTTCTCTGTGTAGCCCTAGCTGTCCTGGAACTCACTCTGTAGACCAGGCTGGTCCAGAACTCACAGAGATCTGCTTCCTTCTACCTCTCAAATGCTAGGATTAATGGTGTACACCACTGCCATCTGGCTAAAACATGTTTTTTTATATAACACGAATCCAAGGCAAATTAAGCTGTTCAGGTCTCTGTTTTCTTAGATACTAGAGTTTTGTGGGGTTGTCTCCTCCTCCTTTTCCTCTTCCTCCTCACCATTCTATAACCCAGGAGAACTCTATAACCCTGGAGAACTTATTATGTGTTACAGATGAGCCACTTTGACCTGACTGTCAAAAACCTTTATTCAAAAGAAGTGTGTTAATGTGGGGGCTGAGGCAGAAGAATCAAGAGTTCTAGGTCAGCTTGGGTTATATACTTGAGAACCTGCCTCAGAAACAGCAGAAATCCCTAGCACTAATGACTGGCTTTACTTTCTTTTTGAGATAGGTCTTACTGAGTTGCTGAGATGGCTATAAACTTGTAATCCTTTTGCTTTGGCCTCCTAAGTCAAGTAGATGGATTTACAGCCATGCATCACCACAACCAGTTCATATTTAGATTTTTATTACCCAGAGACAGGGTTTCTCTGTGTAGCTTTGCGCCTGTCCTGGATCTCACTCTGTAGACCTGACTGGCCTCGAACTCACAGATATCCGCCTGCCTCTGCCTCCTGAGAGCTGGGATTAAAGGTGTGCGCCACCACCGCCCGGCATTCATCACACTCTTACTAGTCTCAGTTCTATAGGATTTAGGAGATCAGTTTCCTAACTTAGTGTTTTTCACCTCCTATAGAGACACCGTCATTTATTAGACCTCTGGAGGACAAGACCGTCACCCGAGGCGAAACGGCAGTGTTGCAGTGCATAGCTGGAGGGAGTCCTGCTCCTCGCCTCAACTGGACCAAAGACGATGGACCACTCCTAGTAACAGAACGACACTTCTTTGCTGCAGCCAATCAGCTTCTCATCATTGTAGATGCTGGCTTAGAAGATGCTGGAAAATATACCTGCATTATGTCTAACACTCTTGGGACAGAGCGGGGACATATTTACTTAAACGTCATTTCATCCTCCAATTGTGACTCTTCTCAGAATAGCATTGGACATGAGGATGATGGTTGGACCACAGTTGGCATTGTCATCATTGTGGTGGTCTGCTGTGTGGTGGGCACGTCTTTGATCTGGGTCATTGTAATCTACCACATGAGAAGGAAAAATGAAGACTATAGTATCACAAATACAGGTAAGTGGGACCCAGATGACACATGGCATATTCTTAGGAATGTAGGATTTAGTAAAAAATAAGAAGCTGGGAGTGCTGTGATTGATTACTTGATAAGAGATGTAAGGAAGTTCTTCTGATAAAATACTCAGCTTCTTTGAGATAACTTATTTGGGGAAATAGTTTTAAAAATTTGTATATACTATATATACTTCCCCCTAAATTTAGCTCTTAGAATTGTATTACAGATACATTTTCTTGTTCTTGTGGAGGTTTTGTTTGTTTGTTTTTTGGATTTTTGAGATGGGGTTTCTTTGTGTAGCCCTGGCTGTCAGCACTTGTTCTCTAGACCAACCTGGCCTTAAACTCTGCCTCCCGAGTGCTGGGATTAAAGGCATGTACCACATGCCCAGTTTGTTCTTTTCTTTTGAGAGGAGCTCAGTGGATGGCCCTGGCTGGCCTGGAACTCACAAACTGGCCTTGAGTTTGCAGTGATCCTCTGTCTCCATCTCCTGTGTGCTGGGATTACAGGTGTGGTGAACCATGCCTAGCTGAGTTATATTTTGTTTTGTTTTTGCACTTTCTTTCCTTAGAGCCTAAGGTTCATTCCTGCCATAATTTGTTTTAGGGGAGAGTTGAATCCTTCCTTATGAGTGAGTAGGTCTTTTACCCCACTCACCCCAGGATCTGCAAGAGAAGGGATCCAGGTAGAGAGATTATGAAAGTGTAGCTATAGGTAAGATTTTAATCTTCAGTGTTTTTTCTTTTGATAACCCCTCATCCCCAACCCTCCACTAGTAATTGTGGGAGTGAACCTACAGCCTGTAAATGTTAGGCAAGCACTTTACCACTGCTGCACCAAGTCACACTTCTAAAATGAAACTCTGAGAAGAACTTTAGTTAAATATATATGTGTGTGTGTGTGTGTGTGTGTGTATACATACATATATATATATATATATATATATAATACACACATATACATATACACACACACATACATATATACTAAGGGAAGTATGAAGAGCTGTTGGGGTCCCAAGTCCATACCATTTTCCAGACCACTGTCAAAGTGGAGCACACTTATAAAATTGCCTTCTGAATGTTGACTTCGACTGCCTGAGTTTGAGAGTTACAGATGTCTCTTTACAGAGGAACTTAATTTGCCTGCAGACATTCCCAGCTATCTGTCTTCCCAAGGAACACTGTCTGAACCGCAGGAAGGCTACAGCAACTCTGAGGCCGGCAGTCATCAGCAGCTTATGCCTCCTGCCAACGGATACGTACACAAGGGCACCGACGGTAGGCACTTTGCGGTTCATAGTTACAACTTCAGCCTGTTCCACTGGGTTTATTGCTCAGTGTATAGTTTTCCCATTAGCCTGAAGCAAGATTTTAAGATAAAATATTTAGAACATTTAACTTCATACAAAATGGAATGAAATTGACTATAAAGTCTTAACCAGAGAAGAAGGCCATCTTACAAAAATAAACACATTACCCTTAAACAGGGATTGAAGGACATGGCTGAGCCTCCTGGATCTTTGTCATTGTAAAAAGAGGATGTTCTAGAAACTTTTTTCAAGTGTTTCTTGCCCTTTTAGAGATGAGCATCCTTTAGATAACATCCAAAGGGCATTTGGTTCTCCTTCTGACAAGTATCTACTTAGTAAAGTTTAAAGGGCAAAATGACTCTCAGCCTATAATGGAGAACTTCAGAGAGCTATAAAATGTCCCGTAGTAAAGTGACTAGAACCTCTTCTTGCCCTTCCCTCCTCCCAACCTCACTTCTGTAGAAAGTGACAGACACAGGAGGTGGATCTGGCTAGGGATCGTGTGAGCAGCTCCTGTTGCTTAACTTCTTGACTCATAGAAGTAACATGAGCTTATATGCTTTCAATTGCTCAAGCCAAGTTGTATTTCAGAGCAGAGGTCCAGACCTGTCTTGGATCCCGTGGTTGGAGTTTAATCTCTCCAGGCTAGACAGAGACAGAGATTTAACATTAGAATTCAAGAGAATGGGCTCTGAAGCCAGAGTGCCTAAGTTTCCACTTCAGCTTTCTCTATAAAGTGGAGATGAGAATTCTATCTGCTTCATAGGGATGTTGTGAGGGGAAAAAAATGAGTTAATTGCATAAAGACCTTGAAATTTCACCTGTTTTATAAAGTAAGTGTACAGTAAATGCTACAACTGTTGAAGAAAGTTGATCGTGACAAAGTTATGCCTTAACAGAAAAGCATTTGGGTTCTTTCCCATGTTGTTATTAGGTGGCACCAGTACCCGGGTGATCTGTTCAGATTGTTATGACAATGCCAACATCTACTCGAGGACCCGAGAATACTGTCCGTACACCTATATTGCTGAGGAGGATGTTTTAGACCAGACCCTGTCCAGCCTCATGGTTCAGATGCCCAAAGAGACATTTTTGTCAAATCCTCCCCAAGATGCTACTACTCTGGAGAGTCTGATACCATCAGCAGAGAGAGAGCTGTCTACCTTTCCCACCAACCATGAGAGGATGAATGAGAAGCTTCCCTTCTCACAGATGAGCAGTGGTAACAGGAGCTTTGGATTTCACTTTCCCTGACCTGCCTTTCTGTTGAATCGATAGCACACTCATTTCACGGGAAACAAACAAATTAGTATACTAGAGTAATTGCCATTGTTAACTAGTGTCAACTAGAGGTCTTTACTTATCTTCATTTAAATAGTGGAGATTTGAAGGGCTAAACATATGGCATGAGAAACCTAAAATGTTTTGTTTGGTTGTTCTTCTGTCGGGCAAGCCATCTTGGCATCATATCGCCCATGTCAGCAAAACAAAGCTCTTTCTGGACCAATCAGCCGTCACTTCCTCTCAGAGGAAGAACATGGGAAATGGGACACAGGGCAAAAATTGCAGGGTCACAGACAAAGGTATGGTGTTGCCTCCAGGGACGGTTCTGGCAGCAGTAAGTGATCTAACACGAGACTGAAGATGTGCTCTGTAAGAGACCAGTTCTAAAGATTTCTCAAGAGGTCAGAAAATAGCACTGTCATTGAAGGTAGTCTCTTAGCTTTACGTTCAGTGTCTTGAAAGAATTCAAGTATGAAACCTCTTTTAACCTGTGGGAAGTCTTCATTTGAATCTGTTTTAAGTACAGAGATTGTACAGATGAGACTGCCTTGGATTGTCCATTCTTTGCCTTGGGTATCCTAATTAATTCCACACAGGGTGTGCTAGCATCCCTTAGCGTTACCTTAGAACTTGTTAGACATGCAGTTGTGTTAGACCTAGTGAATCTGAATTCAAAGTTTAATAAGGTCCAAAGATTACTTATATGCCTTATTATTTGTTTTTTTTTTGTGTGTGTGATGGTGTCATGCTCAAATCCAACACTTAATTCTCCTGCCTTGCCTCTCAAGTGCTGAGGTAACAGGCAAATGCCAGGATTATGGGCATGAACCACCTCACGTGGCTTGTATTAAATTGTTTTTGTTTTGTGTGTAACTGTATGCATTCATATACGTAGAGACACATGCATGGGGAGACTAAAGGAGAATGTCTATAGAGTCATCCTCCATTGCTTTTGAGCCTAGTTTTTGAGACAGGGTCACTTTTGTAAACCTGGTGATTGCTGTTTAAGCCAGGCTGACTGGCCAGCAAGGTCCTGGGATTCTCTTGTCACTGCTTCTCTATGCTGGAGTTACAGTCATACCTGACCTCGCCTGGCTTTTTATGAGTGCTGGGAATTTGAACTCAGGTCTTCTTGCTTTCACAACAAGCCCTCTCACCCACTGAGCCATTTCCTCAGCCCCCACATGCATAGTGAATTTTGAGAATTCTGCACTAGTTTACATTCTAGGTGAATTTTGCTTTCATTTATGGGTGTTTGTTTCCAGAATGTTAGACTAACTTTTCCCAAAATATGTCATGTGCTGTGTGTGTATACACACGTATCATCCTTCTACCTCTATTTTTTCAGTGCTTTGGCTACAGGTGTGCATCACCACACCTGGTTCAGAAATGCACATTTTTTAAACCAAAGTACAGATAATCCGATTTACTAAGAGTTATGTTAGTTTGCTATTTGTTTCTTTTCTTCTTTTTTCTTTTTTCTATTTTTGGTTTTTTTCCAAACAGGGTTTCTCTGTGTAGCCTTGGATGTCCTGGAACTCACTCTGTAGCTCAGGCTCGAACTCACAGAGATCCGCCTGCCTCTGCCTCCCGAGTGCTGGGATTAAAGGCGTGCCCCACCAATGCCCGGCTGAGAATGGTTATTTTTAAAACTCTTTTTCTTTGGCTTTTTGAGACAAGATTTTGTTAAGGAGCCCTGGCTGGCTTAGAATATGCAATATAGACCAGGCTAGTCTCAGTTTTGTGGCAATCCTGCCTCTGCCTCCTGAGGGCTGGGACTGTATACTTCCATACCTACCCTTTAACTTCTATGACTTACTTGAGTGTATTGGAGGGATGTACCACAGAGTGCATACCAAGGTCAGAAGACAGATTTGTGGAGTCAGTTCCTGCCTACTTTTCTGTGGATTCTGGGGTTTGAACACAAGTCCCTAGCTTGTGTGGCAAGCTTCTTTAACATCTGAGCCATACAGTAGGCCCACATTCAGCTTTTAAAATGTCTTTAAAGAGGGACTAGAGCACTGGTTCTCAACCTTCCTAATGCTGTGACCCTTTATGTTGTGGTGACACCCAACCATAATTATTTCGTTGCTCCTTCATAATTAATTAATAATTAATTTTGGTACTGTTATGAATCACATGTAAATATTTGATATGCAGGCTGTTATTCGACCTCCAAAGGAGTGCAACCCACAGGTTGAGAATCACTGAACTAGAGATGGCTCACTGGTTAACAGCACTGGCCACTCTTCCAGAGGACCCAGGTTCAGTTCCCGGCACCCATATGGTGACTCACTACTGCCTGTAACTCCACTTCCACGAGATTTGATGCCCTCCTCTGACCTCCACAGGCACCAGGCACATGTGGTGCACAGACACACTGGCAGAACATCCATACATATAAAATAAAAATTTAAAATATATTTACAGAAGTGACAGCTCCACTGAATTAATGATTATTATCTGTGTGTCATAGAACTGTCATTACAATATTCCTTTTCCATGTGTCTAGAATTTTGTACTGTGTTTTTGTCTCAGGGTTTTTATTGCTGTGATGAAACACCACGACCAAAGCCAGCTTGGTGAGAAAAGGGTTTCTTCCGCTTACAGTTGCATATAACAGTTCATCAAAAGCAGTGAGGGCAAGAACTCGAAGCAGGGCAGGGAACTTGGAGGCAGGAACTGATGCAGAGGCCATGGAGAGTACTATTTCCTGGCTTGTTCCTTGTGGCTTGTTCAGCCTGATTTTGTAGTCTTAGTGGCTGCACATGAATCTACTCATATTTTATCCTCTGCCACCACACAGCCCCTCAGTCAGCACCCAGAAGCCACTCAGGCTGTGGTGGGGCTTCCAGTCCTGTGGCCATGCTTAAGTCTCTATCACTCTATTTATTAAAAAGACTCAGAAGTCAAAGGCTGGGATGAAAACCTGCTAGCCAGAGATGCTGAGTAGCAACCAGCTGACCTTGCTTTTTGGCTAGAGACACTGCCAGAGACATGTCTCTTCCCTCATCCCAGAACCAAGAGAGCTCAAATTCCAGTCCCTACCCTTTCCTTCATGTGCATCTTCTCTATCCAAATGGATGCCTTCTCTATGGCCAATTCTTGTTAGCTAGTCACTGACTCGGCCCCCTGATTCAAGGTATAACTTTATCGGGCAGTCTCGGGAATGTCAGAGTGTGATCAAAATATTCTACATTAGTCTGCTTTAAAAAAAAAATCTATTTAACTTTATTTTTATGTGCATTGGTATGAAGGTGTCAGATCCCCTGGAACCGGAGTTACAGACAGTTGTGAGCTGCCATGTGGGTACTGAGAACTCTGGGTCCTCTGAAGAGCAGCCAGTGCTCTTAACTGCTGAGCCATTTCTCCAGCCCCACAGCCTGCTTTTTTGTTATAGAACCCAGGACCACTGCCAAAGGGATGGCATCATCTACAATGATGGTCTGGGTGGTCTGGGGCCCACCCCCATCCATCACTAATTAAGAAAATGCTGAATAGGCTTGCCTATAGCCCCATCTTAAAGAGGTTTTGTTTTGTTTAAGTGTGTTGTTGGCACTGGAGAGCTGGCTCAGCTTTTCTTTCCCTTAAGATTTATTTATTGTTTTTTCCTTAAGATTTATTTTTATAGTGTTCTGCTTGCATTTCAGAAGAGGGCACCAGATCTCATTATAGATGGTTGTGAGCCACCATGTGGTTACTGGGAATTGAACTCAGCACCTCTGGAAGAGCAGCCAGTGCTCTTAACCTCTGAGCCATCTCTCCAGCTCCAGAGATATTTTCTTAATTAAGATTCCCTCAAATGACTTCAGCCTGTGTCAAGTTGACATGAAACTAGCCAACACAATTTTCAAAGCAGAAAAACTACTAAAATAACAGGTGAAAAACAGCAACATGATTTCAGAAATTAGCTTATTAGTTCTGTTGAATATAAAGATTTGGTGGTTCCAGTTTTTATTTTTAATGTTGGTGTTGTGATCTCAGTGTCCTCATCGAGGATGCTGGGCAACTTTACTTTTTTCTTTTTTGGTTTTTTATTTTATTTTATTTTTTTTGGTTTTTTGAGACAAAGTTTCTCTGTGTAGTTTTGGAGCCTGTCCTGGAACTCACTTGGTAGCCCAGGCTGGCCTCTAACTCACAGAGATCTGCCTGCCTCTGCCTCCCGAGTGCTGGGATTAAAGGCGTGCGCCACCACCGCCCGGCTTTTACTTCTTTTTGGGGATTGGGTTAAAAGGCTGGAGAGATAGCTTAGGGATAAAGAGCATTTGTTACTCTTAGAACCTGGGTTCAGTTCCCAGCACCGACATGGCAGCTCACCCAGGAGATCCAGTTCCATTTTCTGGCCTCTGGGCAGACACACATGTGACACACAAACATATATGTAGGCACAACACCCACGTGCATTTTAAAAGGGTATCAGGCTTTCGGGAATTAATTGTGAAATTCCTGTTGTTACTGATGGTATTTCTTGTTTCTTATTCTCAGAAATATTCCAGCGGCCGCTGTGGAACATGAACAGAGAACTAGGCCTGCTTCCCTTTCCCCAGCAGCCTGTCCTTGACTCACCACAGCTTCAGCGACATGAGGGCCTGGCAGAGAGGGATCCAAACTGCTCTTCCCCTGTGTCCTGCCACAGGTTACATGACCACACTTTCGATTTTAGTAGGACTCGGAACATTCAAGATGGTAGTGAAGGCACATGAAGCCCATTCAGGAGGAAGTCTGAGCAGAAACTCAAGTTAGTTAATTTACTACCTCAGAGTTGAGAAGAACCCCCAAAGTCAGCACTTGCATTACTCTTTGCTTCGAATTATATCTGACCACCCCAAAGTAGCCCTGATGTTTGGGCTTACACCGTTGAAGAAAAGTTAGTGGCTGACAGATGTACCACAGAAATGTGTACCGTGTTGAGAGTACACAGCCCTGGGGAAGACGATATGGGCAAGCATCCCTCCAGATGGCCCCACAGGGATGTGCCCAGGTGTGCACCGCCCGTCATGAAGAGTGTCGTTGCTGCTTAGCCTGCTGGATTGCCCGGTCCTCAGAATGGTCATGGGAAAGCATCACTACTTTGACATTCTACTTGGCCTTCCAAGTTAGGAGCAGAGATACCTTCTGAGCTCTCCTAACTCCGACTGGGATTCTCCTGTGGTGTTGAACAGAGAATGGAGGCTGAGGCTTTGATATTCAAGGTCTTCAGCTAGAATCCAAGTTTTGCTGACTGGTACCAGAGCAAAGGCTTTTGTATTCTTGTGTGTGTATATGCGCGTGCGTGCGTGCGTGCGTGCGTGCGTGCGTGCGTGCGTGCGTGCGTGCGTGCGTGTGTGTGTGGGGGGGGTATGTTTGTTTTGTCCCTATAACCAGGGATGTCATTGTAAATATATGTGCATTTATAAATAATTTTTCTACTCATTGACCTTGTGTGTTGGCTACAGTGTAAATACTTTTGATATGCCCAAATTATATATAATGTCTATCTGGTTATTGTCTGGGCAGCAACTTCTCAAGATCACAGGTTTTACATAACTTAGTTTAATGAGGTCTACAAACTCTGTTTAAAGCTCTAAGACTATTTGTTACGAAGCTTGTGTAGAGAGGCGGGGTACTTAGTGACTGTGTGCTCACAGACTCAGTCTTGCTGTAATGAACTGTTTGCTTCATGCCTGAAGGTCCATGCATCCAATCCCTTGCCATCTGTTTACAAGTGCCAGGTGATAATCTTGTTCTAGCATAAACGTCTAGCTCGTCCAGAGCCCAGCACCCTTGTCGCAGCCCTGTGAGCATAGAAGGTTACTTATTTGGGGACTGTCTTCTGTCAGCAAAGTACTTTAATGACAAGGAAACCAAAGATTGTTCTTTTTTATGTTTACTTTGTTTTTAATCTCCTTCATGAATGTAGCATATTAAGAAGGGAAGTGTGCTCTTGGGAGTAGATCCCACGGAAGTTCCTGTACTCTGATTTAGTGTGGTCCTTACTTTATACCAGTTATTATTGAAGCCAAAAAACTTTCTTGAATTTCTGGTAGCAAAAAGCTTTATGTAAACAAAGAATGTTAACACTAATGAAATGTCATGTGCTTTCAGTCTGTCCTTTGTAATACCAGCTTCCTGCTAGATGGCTCTGGACTTTTAAAGGTGTCTATTTATAAGTAACTGTATATTTTTAGAATTCCAAACTCACTTAGCTTTTTGTCAGAAAGATGAATTTCTGACTTTTTTCCATGCTTGTTTTAATCTTTAATTTTTCTTCCTCAGATAAAAGTGCTGTTAGCTTTTTTAACTTTCTTTTTCAATTTAAATTGTCATGATTTCTTCATTTCCGCTTTGAACCTTTCAAATATTATAGTCTTCTCATCTCTTCGGATGCTTTCTTCTTTTTGGGCTGTCTTCTAGTTTAGCGTGGTCTGACTAGGAATTAGAACCCGGCCCCTTCCTGGCACTGCTCTCGCTAGCTGTCTATCTGACTCCTGCGGATGGGAAGAGGCTGTTCACCAGCTCTAAGCCGCTCTCCAGCTCCCTCCAGGAACCAAGAGGATTGTGCCACTTCAGTAAAGAGCTGCCTTGTGAACTGTTGTCTAGATCAAGGATGCTGCTGCTTGCTCTAACTTGAGCTGTATTTATTTTCCCAGTACAGGACTAATGGTCTAAGAAATGCTCAGGGGAGGGGGGAATGCTCTGCTTTTAAACAGTGTCAGTAAACAAAGATTCGCGTCTGAATTGAAAAATTGCCTTTTGTCTTCTGGAGCAGCAGTACTCCAGCACACAGGGGCTCAGAGTGGAGGTGTGCTGCAGCCCATGTGTGGCTGGCCACGCCACTTCTGTGGTCAGTTTAGTGCTCTGTCAGCTGGGATCTGTCAGGTAGAAAGCAGGCCCTGACGCGGTCCTCTAGAAATACTTTATCCAGGACATCACCCGGAAGCTCCAGCAGTGGCCTTTCTGCTGGGGTGTCAGTCTGGTCTTCTGAGGGTTGGTGGGATGTTGGACCAGCCCTCCCAGATATCCCTGGCTTCCTTAAATAACTGTTAAGGAAAAGAGCCTGCCTGCTTCTGGTTTAAAATAACAATAGATTCTTAGCCAGGCCGAGGTGGTGCATGCCTTTAATCCTAGCACTCAGGAGGCAGAGGCAGGTGGATCTCTGTGAGTTCGAGGCCAGTCTGGGCTACAGAGTGAGTTCCAGGACAGGCTCCAAAGCTACAGAGAAACCCTGTCTCAAAAAATAGACAAAAAACCCAAACAAAACTACAATATATTCTTAACTTAGAGAAAGGAATTCCTGAAAAAAAGTCTTTGCACAGGTTTGACCAAGCAGTCTCTACCCTCCACTAGTGATAGAATTGGTGTCTCCTCAGTGCTTCCTCCAGGCCGGACAGGGTTCACCTAGGACTAAGTTAATCAGGGACATTGCAGAGCAAGGGAGACTGAAATCCTGAGAGAAGTAGTCCATCCCCCGGCCAGTTCCTACTTCATTTTTGTGGGACAAATAAGTTCTCTTAATTTGTTGGTGCCCCCTTTTGGACTGATTCTACACACAGAGGCTTATTCATAATTATAAATCCCCAGCTTTAGCTTGGCTTGTTGCTAGCCAGCTTTTCTTAACTTTAAATTATCCTATCTATTTGGTCTCTGGGCTTTTACCTTTCTTTCTGTACACCTTTCTTTCTTACCCTGTTGCTGGTTGTGAACCCGGGAGGCTGGCCCCTGATTTCCTCCTTTTCCTCCTCCTCCTCCTCCTCTTTCTCCTCCTCTTCCTCTTCTCTTGTTCTTTCTTTTTCTCCCAGATTTCTCCTTCTATTTATCCTCTCTACCTGCCATCCCCACCCTTCCTTTCTCCTGCCTTGCTATTGGCCGTTCAGCTCTTTATTCGACCATCAGGTTTTTCAGACAGGCAAAGTAACACAGCTTCACAGAGTTAAACAAATGCAACATGGAAGAATGCAACACATCTTTGCATCATTAAACAAATGTTCCAAAGCATAAACACATGTAACACATGTTAAAATACTTTTCTCCAACAGGGGACTTTCACTCTTAGTTGGCTGAACATTGCCGGGTGAGGGGTCGTGAAGGACCGTTAGTCTGCATCAAGCAGTTTCAGCACTGTCAACCTGTGAAAAGGGGGACACGAGAGAACTCTTTATTTACATCTTGTTGTAGGAGGTAACAGACACCGTCTCCAGAGAGGTGTAGAGTACATGTCTTAGTCTAATAGCGACCCTTCTCTGGTAATGGAAGTAGTCTGCCTGTTGGGGGGAGGTTTGTGCAGACACTAATCTAGTCATGCTGAGGAGGGTTCTTCGATGGCGTGGAACACGGGCAATGTCACTGTAGCATCTGCAGTGTTATCATTAGCTTGAGAGTTTGTCCTTTGATCTTTGTGTTGGTTTAGTGCACTTCAGATTTTTTTTTTCTAAAACTAAGCCATTTGGGACTTTGGTTAACAAAGGAATCTGATCTGTGTTCACAGGTAAAAACATGAAATGGTGGCATTATTTTTCTGGAAAAAAAAAACCCTATACTTTCTACACAAGTGCCATTACTCTAACAAAAATTTAAGCCTGTGTTGTATTATAACTCTTTACTCTGATTTTTGAAAAATATTACTAATTTTTAAAGCCCCCACTGGCCTTGAACTCTCAGTCTCCTGCCGCCTCCTCTGAAATGTGGGCACTATAGGTATGTCTGACTTGATTAATTTTTATTCTTGCCTATGGAGCCTAACTGGAGTGGAGGTGTTATTGCAGCGTTCAGTTTTATAATGTTTTACCAAGTATAAGAGGCTGGCCTTTTCTCATTATTGGATACCACTGACATGCTACAGGGCTAAGGAGTATCAGGTAAGTGTGTCTGTTTCCCCAGTGCTGGGCTTTGAACCTGCAACTCTGAATGCCAGCTGCATATTCTCCCACTGAGCTCAGACCCCATGTTTGTTGTTCTCTTAGACATGTTCCATCTTTGGGCCTTTTTTGTTTTGCTGTTGGCAGTCCTGGGGATTGACTCTGTAGGCTCCTGTGTACCAGACAAGTGCCCTACCTCTGAGCTGCAGCCTCAGCTGGCATGTTGGTTTACTGCAGAGTCATGGGTGGTTATAAAAACAATGGGACCATAAATGGCTGAGCTGGGTTTTTTCTGTTAGGTGCTCTCTGCCAGTCCAGTCTGGTGTTCTGCCACCTCCCTTTCTACTTTAAACTTTTTGTTTGGAACATGATCTAAATATATAGCACTTTGCCTGGATTTTCTTTTTTTGTTCTTTTTGGACATTAGTTCATTGACAGAAGTACCAAGTTTCTGAATTAGGGATGCATTAGGAACTGTACTTAGAACATCTGAAAACCCAAGAACCACTTGTAGGCTTTGTGAAAAGTTGGGAGGGGAAGGAAAGGTTGGTGTATGGTATCCTAGGAATCAGACGCAGGCAAGCACTCTGCCAGCCGGTGTGCTTTAAGTTACGGTTTGGATCCACTCCCTCTCAGTGCGAACATTATTTCTTGGTAATCATCACGAGGTGGGTGGTGTGAGGGTGAAGAGCAGCTTGACTTGTTTGTGAATATTGATGGATGTGAAGTGATCTTGTCTGAGACTGTAACTGTTTTCAATGAGAAGCTGATCTTCAGGTGGCCAAGTGCCCTTGAAGTACGTCCTGGCTGCTGGAGATGGCCTCTTCACCCACGGAGTGACTTCTCCTCCCTGCTGTCCTCTCTTCTTTTCCCATTAGAGGATGTGGGGCTGAGCAGCCCTGGTGTAAGACACCTCTAAAGAGATCCAAGCCACGTTGTTCAGTGTGGCTGTCTCCTGGTATCGATTATATTTTCTCACATAAGAATGTATATTTTATAGAGCATGTGTTCGTCCTGTCTACTGTAATGTCAATAAAGCAAAAACATTCTCTTGTCTTGCCTAAAGTATAGGAATGAATAGTGTGTTTTGTTTGGGGCCTTTTGAGGGGAGTTTTTGAATAGTTAAACAAGTTAAAATGAAATTGCTTTTCCCTTGTTGTCACCAAGTCCTACTTTCTGTGCCTGGTGCTGGGAGCACCCTGGAACTGAGCTGTGCGGCACAGGCACTGTGTGCTCTCCTGCTTGTCCCTCTAGAGGTCCTCTGTGGTGCTAGGTGCTGGGAGACAAATGGGTTTGAGAGTCATGAAGAGTTCTCTGCAAGGAGAGAATTCAAGTGTAGCTGGAGAGTTTTCTCTCTCTCCAGCTACATTCAAGGGCAGTGTTTTCTAGTTTGATGAAGTCTGGTTAACGTGGTCTTTGAGGAATGTCAGTATTCTGTAACTTTGTTGCTCTACCACCTCGGGCTTGGTCACTCTGGGGGTCAGCTCTTTGAAGACCAGGATTATCACGGTGATCACATTGTGTACATCTGCCACACTTCGGGAAGCACTCACTTGTTCTTCCAACACAGACCAGGAGT